GCCGACGTAAGTTTTACACTTTTTTATTATTAAACTTACAATTGACACGTGTAAAATTTTTTTATATTTTCCAGATGATTTACACTTTATATATTTTTTAAAAAAAAAGTAACAGGCATTTATTTAATTGAATCATAAAGAAAGGTTCACTAATATTCAATTGATTGGATCTACAAGGAATCAAAGGAACCAATTTCAATCAGAATTTTTTTAAAATCAAGCACCCAACGAAAGTAAAAAATTTGTTCCCAAAAATTTATTATAATTCCATATGTCATTGTCATGTCATTATCCTTGTCCTTGTCCTATTCTTTAATTCTTAATATTAAGAAATCAGTTCATTCCCATGAAACTCTGATTTACTTTTTGGGACATCCTTCAGTTAGACCGGTTTTATTGTTTTTTTTTATTATTTACTTTAAACAGTAATGGTGATCATCACAGAAATTTCCAAAAATCGTTACGGAGTTAAAAGATTCAAATGTCAGTTTTTTTTTAGTTCTAACAATAATCCCATTTGAAATGGCACGATTTAATTATCCGTGGAAACAATTTCTCGCAAAATTTTTTTTAAATAAATAGCAAATATTTCTTTCCTTTCAATATTTTTAAACTTACCCAATAAATTATAATAATAAATAAATAATTATTATTTTATAAAATAATCATAACGACAATAATAAAAAAATGGCTATAATTGAAAGCACAACCATGTATTTAGTTGTGCTACATGCCTCGTTGGATATTATACTTATAAATGGATAATTTATCCATTATATTTATCTCCTTTATCCAAAATTCCTGGACCTCGTCCTGACCATTTTCTGTTGGGAAATTTCTTGGAAATTATTAACCCTACGGTGAGATCATTCATGATTATTTACATATATAAATAACTATGTTTATAAAAAATTTGACCTCTGTTACATTTAATTTAATAAGGCGGTGGGATTCATTGGGCAGAAAAATATGGCAATATATATAGGTGTTATGGATTATTCAATGAACCAAGGGTTTATATTCTCAACGAAAACAATATTCAAAAAGTACTTGTTACTGACACGTATACTAAATTTAGAAGAAAGAAAATTATGGGATATTTAAAAAATATTATCGGAGAAGGTATTTTGGCGGTAGATGGTGATGTACACAAGAAACAACGTAAATTAATGAGTCCATCATTCAGTAATCATAGTATTAGAGTAAATAAAAAAATTTTACATTAACAGGTTTGTCTGTGGGATTAGTTACATTAATATTATTATTATTATTTAGGATATGATTCCAGCATTTACAAGGGTTTCTAATACATTGAAATATCTATGGAAAGATGAAATAAAGAATGGTCAAAATGTTAATAATGATATTGGTAAAAAAAGTGCAATAATTGATGTTGGTTGTTATATGGGAAGAGTATCTTTGGATGTTATTGGCATAGTTGGTAAGTGATTCTATAATAGGATTGAACAGGTAAAAAAATAATGCAATTAAAATCACTAGTCAGTGTGTTTAATCAAATCAATCTTCACACAATTAATCATTTGTTATTTAGGGTTTGATTCTGAAATAAATTCTTTGATAGAATCATCAAGACTTGCTGATTCATTAAGCACTCTTTTTGATAACAAATATGGGGTAGCATTTAATTTATTATCAATTTCTTTACCCATATTGAGATTGCTGCCATTAAAAATAAATCAAGATATTGAAAATGCTTCAATTGAAATTGAAAAATTACAAGGAAATTGGTTCAAAATAAATTTGATGAATTGAAAAGAGGTAAATTGGATATCAATGATTTGATAAGTGTTTGGTGAAAGCTAGTTATGGACAGGAAATAGATAAAAATGAACAAATGAGTTTTGAAGAAATAAGAAATCAGGTAGTTGTTATTACAAAGAAATTGAAGGAAATGATTTTTTATAATTATCATTATTATTTTTAACTAAAAAATTTTTTTTTCAAGATTATGACATTTTTCATAGCAGGACATGAGTCAACTGGTGTTATGATGATTTGGATATTGTATTATTTGTCCAAGGATCAAGAAATTCAAGACAAACTCAGAGAAGAGATTGTTAAAGAATTTCCTGATAAAGATTCTGAGCTAAATTTTGATAAAATCAACTCCATGGAATATTTAAATGCAGTTTGCAAAGAAACTCTTAGAATTGTCCCTCCAGGTATATTATTATAATGAATAAGAAGAAGAAAATATTGTTATGATTATTATATAAATATAAACGCATTTGTTATATTTTTTTTATGTTATAATAAAAGCTACATTGGTGAGTTGTATAGCAAATGTAGGTGTCATGATTGATGAGTATCTTATTCCAAAGGTATTATTTTATTTATGCATCTGTTATTGTCTTTTAATATTATTAATATTAATATTAATAAATTAATTTAGGACACATCAATTTATGTACCAATTTATCAAATTCACCATTTGGCATCAATTTGGGGTGATGATGTTGAAAAATTTAATCCATCACGTTGGTTTACAGAAAAAGTTAAAGGTTTTTCTCATTACAAGCATCTGCCATTTTCAGCTGGGCCAAGATCATGTATTGGTAATAGGTTTGCATTGAATGAAGCAAAGGTTGTCTTGTGCATTTTATTAAGAAACTTCCAGTTCCATGAAGTTGAAGGTTTCAAAGTTACAACTAAAGCAAATATTACTCTTAGACCTGATCCTACTGTGAAGTTGTGGGTCAATGAAATTGATTATTAATTAGCAGATAAGAAAGAATATTATTTATTATTTATTAAATACACTCAAATCGGATGGACCCTTGGTTCCATATTATTATGTTTATTTTTTATTTTATTTTTCCACTGTAACAAGAGACAGTTATAAAATATTATAAATGAAAACAAAAAAGTCTAATGTAATGAGCTTCGACTGTTATTTTGTTTTATAAAATTATAAAATTTTATAATTAATTGGACAAGACTCTTTTTTTATAAAAGTAATGCTAACACCATCCATCAACATATTTAATAAACAGTGATATATTGTATATTAAGTTTTATTATAAAAATATAATACTATGGAATGATTATTATAAAAGATACTAATAATTAAAGAATATGAATTAATGAACGGATGGGAATGAATGTTTATGGGAAAAGAGATAGTTGATGATTATTTAATAGACATAGATTTGTATATTTCGAATTCAATTCTATGGTAATTATGTCAAAAAATAATAATATTATGCTTTGGCTGATAGTCGTGCATATTTTAGGCGATGTATTTATTTACATATTGATAATATCTCTGGTCCTTGTAATACATATATTACATCTACAACATAACCCTATGCCCATCAAAAGAAAGATCAATTCTGCCGATAATTCATTATTACCATGTGTATATATTATAACAAAGTTGTTCGATGGTTAAAAAAAGATTGGGTTTATATGAATCTTGTGACTTCGTGGAGAGTAATAATATAAGTGGTATATAGGTAGAATCGATGTTAAAAGAGGCTCCCTAATATTCGGGAAGATACATTATGTCTACTTGATGTTCGCATTAGTTAATTAATAATTGGATTCGGAAAAAGAAAGTTGAGCGATTATTTGAAGACATTAAATTGTCTATTATAAACTCATATAGATAAAACTATAGAATATAATTAACAAATACCACATGATGCATAGAACAAAATTTATTTTGATGATGATAATAATATCAACAATAACTAACACTAATACCCATGGTGGAAAAAATGTAAGTAAGAATATCCAGGATGTAAAGCAGTTTGTCAAAAAGGCTGTTTGCTAAATCACACAAGGCACCATCTTGGAATAAAGAACCTTAAGTGTGAATATTCAGGATGCACAAAAGCATTTTATTGAGTTGCATCAATAATCACCACCACCATTGAAAGATTTTTTTATGAAACAGCTAATATAATTGTTTCTGGATGCTCAGATTGTCCTTTTTTGAAATTCATTTATTACTATAAACAGATGATTACCCCAATATCTGACGAATCAGACACCTCGTTTCAACGAATGGATTTTTTGTTTTGATCCCTTGTTTTTATAATAGTAGTGGTAATGAGTAGAGCTGACAGCGTAAAGGGTTAAAATCCTAATTTAGTAATAATTGTCTTGACTAAACTTGACTTAACATATGATTAAACAGTTTAGTCAGTTTAGCCAAATGCTGATTAGTCCTGGTAGTGAGATTTTAATGATAATATATTAATATATTTAATATTAGATCCGTTGACTATTCCCTGCCTTTTCATTGTTATTGTGATGCAATTTATGTGATACGTACGAAAAATTTATTTTCTGGTGCAAACAAAAATTATAATATGTAACAAAAAATTTTTAACAGATAATAATAAAATTTGCCATGTTACTGTCTTTTTCTAAATTCCGTAATTTTTTGTCGATTTTGCAAATTAATTTCTTTTTTTGTGTGAAGTTCTGTTTGGTTTTTGGTTTTCATCTTGTTAAGCAAATTTTGAGTCGTACGGCAAATATTCCGTTTATTAAAAGAGTTCTTTGCAATTGCAATTGCAAGTGCCTTACCATTGCCTTGCCTGTTATTTTCAATGATATTGCAATGAACTTCCGTTCCCCCGAATTTTTTTTACTCGAAAAAATGTTCATTATATAGTCGAATAAAAAATATGTTGATTTTTGATCATCTATCAAATTTGGATGATTCGTGATAATAAATGAAGTTTTGTTGTAAATAATAGATATCATTATTAAATATTATTTCCATTTCTCTCTAATCTGGCAATTCTTTAACTTGCTTTTAGCCTTCTCCTCTAAACTAAAGCAAAAATTAACTAACCCCTTATCAGTCTCCTTCTTATTCCGAGTAAAATGCATTAGAGCATATTCCTTATGAACTTTCCTTTCCCCAACTTCACAAAAAATAATAATCCTGCACAGCATAGATAATCTGGTATTTCTTGGGTCGAGTAATCATAAAGTCATACCAGTTTCCCGTAAAAGGATTGAGAGTTTCTTCTAAGACTAAGGAGTGAACGTCCTCACAGGGCTTTACAAGATTGATATATAAAAACCATTGTTTATCTTGGATTCAAGCTTTTACTCCCCTCCTTGTTATTTTGCTCTTTCATGGCTTCAGCTTGCTTCCTTAAACCAAACAAGCAATCCTCATGCTCAAAGACACTTAAAAACCAACTACTCCAAGAATAAGGATTGGCAAGAAAGGTTATAATAATAATTTAAAAAAATAAAAAAAAATATATCACCAGAATCAAAATAAATTCCGTCAACGGGAAAATTTGGCTATGGGAAAATATTTAGAAGAACAATCCGACCAGCTGAAAGTTGAAAAGTGATTAATTCTAATTCCCGAAAACTCACACCTCTCCAAACCTAATTTGGTTGTCCCTGGGTTGAGCAAAATCCGAAAAACAGTTTTTTTTAATATAAATTCTGATAGTTATTTTTAAACACCTTTTTTTTTTTTTTTACACTGCTACAACAATAAATCTATTTTTAAACAATGGCATCTATTCTAACATCCATTGTATATATAAAGGCTGCGAGCGGTGCAAATGTTTATATAAATATTGCATATAGCAGAGTAGATGATGAAGAATTTGTAAAGTTGAATTTTAAGGCATTTCGACAGAACTTTGAAGAAATTATCCGATAAATTAAGGAAAATTCCATTATGGTGATGGTTATTTGTAATTTTTTTTTAATAATTTCGATAAATGACAAAATGTAACAAATGATTTTTTTTTTGTGTAGATAACTGTCATCCAAGCAATAAACTTGGACCTAAAAACTTTGAACGAGGAGCCTAACATACATGATATACTGATAACACCTCTGTTCGGTGCTTTTTTTTCTCCTTGTAAAGAAAAGGCCAAGCTAAAGGATGAACTAGATCAAAACTTCTTCATAATGAAAAAGGAACACTTACAATTCGTTCACCAGCACATCTAACAAAGTAATGATTCCATGTACACATACGATCTCAAATGGCAGACATTCAGCCGTGGCAGATGCAATAAAATCATCAGCAGTCTTTTCAGTAGTGGGTGAGCTGTTCGTGGGAAGGAACATCATGCAAATCATTGAGTGGTCTTATCCCAGTCTATTCCGTACCTTATATGCGGAGTCAAAAAGTATCTTTTCAGTATTATTATTATTATTATTATTATTATTATTATTTTCCTAATTCCGTACATTTTCCGTATACATCCATAAATTGCATTACATTGATAAACTTCAAAACTTGGATTAAATACGTCCATTCCGTACCAAATATAAGGGAGCTCTTATATTTATTTTCTATAGGGCATCCTTTCATTTGATTTTGAGGATAAAGATGTTGTGACTGAATGCAGAAGATTAAATTATTAATTAATATTATTAATGAATGAATGAATTGATTTTTTTTTTTTAAAAAAAAAAAAAGAATCTGATGTAACACATGCTCACTTTGCATCCGAACAACAAAGTTTTTTTACTTTAAAATTACATACAAAAAATCAATGATACTGAAAAAGTTCATTATATTATTATTGAATTATCTTCCTTTTTAAAAACCAAATAACGATATTATGCACGCCACATTGACAAAATAAAGTTAAAGTTTACTGAATTAAACCAACTAAAGAACAATATGAATATGCATGTTATTTTGCATAATAAATGTTTATCATGCATGATTTGCGTCTTTTCCAGCTTGCTCATCTCCCATCGAAGACATTTGTGAAATAAAAAACTTCGTCTCATTCTACTTTCTATTTATAAAAAATCTTGGCAATCAATTTTTTTAATTATACTTCGTTGAGATATTAAATGACTTTTTGTCACCGTCATTTATTTTGTAAAATTCTGATTGGCTAATTTTGAATTTCACGTACAAAGTTTAATCGATTATTATAATAATAAATTATTATAATATAAATAAAACACGACCGTTTTTTTTAAAAAAAATTCGAAAAATCTATTTCAATAACAGACAATAATAATAAAATTTTAAAAACATTATTTATAAATATAATAGCCGACGAGGGATACCGCGACAACTAAACACACAATGGTGCTTTCAATTATAGCCATTTATTATTATCGTTTTTGTTGTTGTTGTTACGATTATTTTGTAAAATAATAATAAATTATTATTATAATTATTGGATTAAGTCTGAAACATTCGCTATTTATTTAAAAAAAACTTTTTGCAAGGAAAAAATTTCAGATTGTTTTTTCTAGATTTGGATAATTCAAACCACCAGGCGCAAGATTAGCCTTGAAATCAACCAATTGTAATATTTCATTGTTTTCTGTGCTATCATAGTTTTTCTAATCCTTCTTTATAAACTTGATGATAAACTTTCGTACAGGCATAGATAGCCTTCTTTATATGGATTGTCTATTGATCAGGTAAAATTATAACAGAACATGTTACGCAGATCAATAGGATAGGTGTTGTACAAACTGCATGTTCATTCCTTTTATATTAATTCAATCAATTCGATAATTTGGTGAACAATAAATTCATTATTATATTCTATCAAATTATCAAATTAGGTTGTTCTTTTTGAGTTTATTGTATTTCCAGCTTGATTAAATAATTTCTCGCTCGGAATGGAAGTTGTAGGTGAACACAAGTATTTAATAGCAAACTTTGAAAAAACAGAAAATCTATTTTTATTATGTTTCCGCACAAATGGATCATTTTCCCATATCCAACTTGACTTTTTAGAACCACCCTTTACTTTGCTTTTATTCAAAATACGAGCAACAGAAAACTCATCCATCTCATTATTGTATTATTGCTTTCTTCCATTATAGTGACTGATAGCTGCTCTTCCATTTTTAGATGAACGGAACTGAAATAAATAATCAATTAAAAATGAACAGAGAATTTATTCGGACATGAAATTTCATTTCAATCCAGCTTTAAATTGATTATATTTAGTCAATCAATCAATGAAAAATCAAACATCCCAATACTTATTATTCAATGAATATTATTCATTTGGGTGTACGCCGATCGAATACTCGGCATCACATACCAAATTAGGAAGGTTAAAATTATTATTATGGCCGTTTCGGACATGTGACCTATTCTCTTT